ACAACAGCCGCATTAGCAGGTGCAAGGGATGGGGACGGTAAAGGGGCGCCTGTAGGTGCGAGCGTGAGTTGCGGGAGGCAGTTACATGACAAGCGACATAAATAGTTGGTTAGACTCGGCATTAAAGAGGGCCCAAAACGTTGCTAAATTTAATAAAACGCACAAAATAATGACACACGCACACACTCAGACATATACACATGCGTGTGCACATACCTATGCAATGCATAAATCCAGTGTACGAGGCCTATTATTATTTTGTGCTGCATCAAGTCGATTCGAAATCGAGCCAATAGCACATATTCGACATATTCGTTGTGTGTAGTATTTTTAGTGATGTCAAGAACAGGCGGTCAAATACACGACTCACCCACACACACACACACACACACACACACACGTTTCACCCACACATAGATATACTCATAAACACACATGGATCCCTCAAATGTATGCAAATATAAACAGAGGCAAACGGCAAACGTTTACACGCATATAGATGGCCCGCATTATAATCGGTGCCCAGCAAAGAGCCAGTATGTTTAGGGGCTGGTTAGGCGGAACTGTCTCTAACTAGGTGCAGTCAACTGATGGTACATAAACAAACATAGGCAAACACAAGCATACATAGACGCACACGCAGCTAAACAATTGTCAACTGGGGCTCCTATTGTTTGTCTCTCTATGAGCATGTGTCTGTGCCTGTGTATGTGTGTATGTGTGTGTGTGTGAGTGTATGGATTTCTGCAACATCTGCTTATCAACGAAATGGCAGCGACAGCAGCCGCAGCGGGCACTAACAAAACAAAAACAAAGCACTCACTCAGCTATATTGCGTATACGCAGTGTTGCACATAGAACAGACATTGTACTTCTTGGTCTCTGGTCGATCTGAAATATTGATGATAATATGATCATGTTGACAAATTTATTACCGAATTTAAGGCTGCATTAACTGACTGAGGGGAATAGCCGAACCCGAACTCGAAACCACAATTCAACACTTTATCCTCCTTTACGACGTTTCTCCCTTAAGTCGATTCTCAAGGAGAGTCGAAATATCTTGTACAATGAATGAATGAAACATAAAAATCATACGAAAATAAGAAATAGTTCACCAATCCAAAGACCTATAAACTTATATATTTTCAACGCTGTGCCGTAGACATTCATAAACCCGACACCGTTTGGCAACTGCTTCACTTAATTCGCAGTTAACCCGCTGAGGCAACAAGTTTAAATAAAAGGAAAAAAATAAAATAAAGATGCTGCTGCCAACAACAGCAGCTCAGTTCAGTTGGTGCCCACCTTGCCGGCCACTGGAGCCCGATTCAAATGGAGAAGCGCAGACACAATTTGATTACTGCTCTTCAGTCTGGGGTGGGAGAGAGGACTGGGACAATTCATGCTTAACTGACATTTCAGCTGTCATGCCAAAAGTGTTTTACATTTCTCGCCAGGACGAGAGACTGTGAATGAAGCTGGCAAAGATGAAGGCGGACAGGAAAATGTTGATGACGTTGTTATTGTTTTTGTTATTTTTGCTGTTGGCACCTTGGCAGAAGCGTTGGCATGACCGCCCGCCTCTTTTGCATTGTTCATTCCTGGCGTGCCGCAACCAGCTGGTGTCGTTTTTCGGCACCACCCTGCCACACCCCGACCCCTACCACGCCCCATAGCTGCCGCACCGGCAGCCGACACCAACCCAAGATGCTTTTAATTGAATTAACGTAACATATTTGGGCGTGAAGCTGCCTTCTTGAAGAACTCAGCATAGTTGGCAACTGCAGTTGGGCTAGTTAAGAGTTGGGCTACGAGGCCAACTGCTCTTGAAGCTTACTTGGTGTGGAGCTTGTATTGAGGCAACACTGTAAATACTTTTGCCATTTGCTATGCTCATTTTCATTTGTTGTCGAGTGCATTATAAAAGCATTAAGCTGCGAACCAAAAAGGGCCATCAGCCCTCGGGCGGGGCCGTGCAGGGGTGCAGATGAGTCTAGTGAAAGCAGAGGAGAGCAAATGCCAAACGATGCACAGGGCCAAAAAACTCGGTAGGGCAAATTTACTTTGCCACGCACACGACCACACACATACACACATTTGCATTTGTAGTTTGTGTGTGTGAGTGTGTGTGTGTGTGTTGTCGCATTTTCATGCTCCGCCTGACGAAATGCCATTACACATTTTGCGTATTCAGAAAGCAGCAGCAACAACAACAACAACAACACCAACAACATGGACGACAACGACAACGACGACAATTCGCATTCAAAATGACAACGACAATGGCAACAACAACAAAAACAACAACAAGAACAAAAACAAACAAACAACGCCCACACAAAAATAAACGCTGGAGGTTGTAGAAATGAAGATAAGCTGCTTATCAGCGCCATTGCCTGGCTGTTGTTGTTGTTGTTGTTGTTACTGCTGTTTTTTTCTTTTGTTGTTGTTGCATTTGTTGTTGCCTGCGCTTTAACCCAGCGCTTGGCATTCCCATTGACTGTTCCTTGCTGGCATCTACGCCTCTCCGAATGCGGCTGCTAACGGCCAAAGGGAACGTGGACCATTGCAGCGACTTTTGTTTGGCCGCCAGAGTTGCCATTGTCGTTGTCGTTTGCTTTCGCTATTATTTTTTTTTTTCGTTTAGCCGTTGTTTTTGTCCTTTTTTGCTGCTTTGCTAAGCCCGCAAACCTGACAGCAGTCCTGCCAAAGGAGATATTTTGGCTAAGAGAGTGCGAAAGCGAGAGAGAGATGCAAGCACAATTGACATTTTGCCACTCGTTGTTTAATATTAGACTAATGTGTATGTGAAAGCCACAAGCTACTCCCTTTGCAATGCCCTATCCCGCACCGCCCGCCCCGTCCGATTTTCGCTCCAGCAGCCCCCAGCCGCAGTTTCTTGTGTGTATTTAAATAATGTTATCGTCTGTGTATGCAAATGCCAGAAGTGGAGCTTAACTTTTACGCTTGATGGCAAAATAATTTGTCTAAAATGCAATGCTAATGTTGTGACTCGTGCTGTGGATGCTCAACTTTGTGGCATTATGTTGATGCAGCAGATGCGCAGCAGATGCGGGGCGCCCACTTAAGTTGGGGTGGCGCCGAAAGCCCAAAAAGTTTCAACAGTTTTTAGTTTTCAATACAATGCGAATGCGACATTGCGCATACGCCCTGTGAGCGGCAGTCAGCTGTTGGCAATTTCAATTTGCTGCTCATCAGCGTTAAGCGCCTTAAATCTCAAATCTAATTACACACAAGCCAAAGACAAAAGTCCACAAATATTTTAGCCGCAGCCCCACCAAACCCCACCCTCTTATCCTGCCCGCTGCTTTTAATCACAACTGACCGACAAAGCCCCTCCGTGTCCCCTGTTGTCGCCATGCAATGCCAATTTTGAATTTGTGTTCCTTCCGTTGAAAAATGCGCCCAACTTTGCTACTGTGTTTAACCGCGTGAAATAATCTTTGCTGGCAGCAGTCAGCCAGTATCCTGCCTGCTCCAGCTTCCGCTCCCACTCCGGCTTCGGCTTCGGCTCCCGCTTCTGTGCCTGTGTCGCTGGCGGGCTAGTCGGGCGCGTTTCATTATGATGATAATGCGCAGGCCCTACGGCCATTCAGGCCGCATCGCAAGCTGGTGTCATATTTTCCGCAGCTTAAATTTCCCACTGCCTCAGAGCTGGCCACTTGCCCGCTCTTCCAGTCATTTGACCGCAGTGGAGAGAAAGAGATGGGGAGAATGAGCAGCCAAATCGTCTAAGCCTAACGCAATGCGATTGGACTGCGAAGGGTCCTGGTCCTGGGACTGGTCCTGGTCCTGGTCTGGTCTGTTCCTGGCAGTCAAAAAACTAGGCAACACCATTCACACACTGTCAACAGTCCTTGCTGCTTGGCTTGCCGCAGCCCCAGTCGACGAATAGGAGGGAGGTGCGTCGACGGCAGGATATAATTTTCGCGCTAAGCAAATCTCAACAATTTCGAATTTCTTCCATTGGCCATCGGCGCTTCCGTCCGTTTGCCGTTTGCTTTTTATGAATTTGTTGTTTTTGCTTTTGGCCTTTGAATTTGTCAAGAATCCTGTTTAGCACACCCTACGCCCCGCAGCCCACCCAGTCCACTTGCCACTGCCACACAGCTGCGCCTCTTAAGCCTATAAATGAGCTTAAAATTTTCTATGCGAATGAATGCGAATGCTTTTGAAATTTATTATACTCAGCAAGGAGCTCGCGTCTGGCCAGGAGGGCATGCTCAGGGTGTTGGCACACACACACAGATGAATACCTTTTTATCTATGTGTGAATGTGAATGCGTGTGTGTGTGTGTATTAGCATGTACATGCTTCTCAAAGGCATTTGGAGCTGTCTCCTGGAGGTTGTCCTTGTCGACGACATTCAAATTTTTCAGCGCAGCAAATTGAATTTTATTTCGATTTCTTTCGAAGCTGCTTGCTACTTGGGGGGCGGCTTGCTTTTGATTTTCAAATTGCCTTTTGCTAGGCGCTGTATATCGCAGGCACATCTATATGTATGTGTAGGCGTGTGTTCGTATGTTTGGTGCTTGGTGTTTGTCTACTGCCGCACAGCTACAAATTGAATTTTCAATGCTGCTAAATAATTTCATTTTTATTTTTCGCCTGATTTTCGGGTTTCAATGCGCACTGATTGTATGCTCCGGCAGGCAGCCCAGCGCTTTATACACAATTTCCATTTGTAGTTGTTTAAAAATTCACTGCATATATTTAATGTCAATTGTGCAATAAAAAATATAAATAAAAACAAGAGTACCAAGCGCGACAAATGGCCGGCTAGCATTTACTCTGTAAACAAATCTCTTATACTCTACTACAGGGTATTGAATAAAAGTCTATTCGGGATATTCGGCTGATTTTTGGTCCTTCACTAAATAAGAAATCAAAATGCTTTTACAGCCAGCTACGATTTATAAGTTATAATAAATGCCCACTCACTGTCAAACACTGTGTTTCTTTGTCACTATTTGCAGGCTTTCTCCTGGAGGGAGTCACGCCAACAGCACCACCGGATGTTCCGCCACGTAATCCGACAATGAGTCGCATGAATAATGCTCGTTTAATTGCCGGCGCTGTTGCTAACAATCCCAATGATCTGGGCGTTGACTTTGAGCCATCGTGTTTGGTGCGGACGCCATCGGGCAACGTTTACATTCCTAGTGGAAATCTAAGTGAGTATTGTTTTTAGATGATACACTCTCCCAAATCCATATATATATATATATATATATATATATAGAGTATTTGGGCCATATTGAACCCACACCGTGACAGTCATATGCAAATCGCCTGCTGTCCCCCTCTGCAAAAGCCACTTGACTCGCTTAAATGTTTAGCGCGCAACGGGCACGAAAAAATTCCATTTTCCATATTGCTATAAAAATGCAAAACATGAAAACTAAAAAAACAAAAAAAATAAAAACGAAAGCACAAAAATAGGCAGAGGCCAACAGCATTTTGCAAAATTTGCAGGCCTTTTGTTTTGCGCCATGCGCCTAAAATGCCGCAATACATTTGCCATTTATTGTTTTTCCAACAATCTTTTTTCTCAATGTTCGTTCGGTGTGTGTGTTGGTTTGTTTGTTTGTTTGAAAGCGAGTGCTTGTGTGTGAGAGTGTGTGCATATCCGCAAGCAGACTTTAGGGATAAAAACATTCGAAAGTGGAGTGAAAATAGTCGACAATAACAACAGCAACAACAAGTGCCCAGCACTAAACAAACCGACAGAAAAAAGAGATGCCAAACGGCCGCAGGGGCCTACGAAAATACAAAAATAAAACCAAAATTCTAGCAAATAAATGCGACTGCCTTTTTGGCGCACATTTATGTGCACATATCAGGCTAAAGGGAGGAATGCGAAGGAGTGTGTGAGATGGAGGCGACGGGGCCAAAAATAAAGTGCCTTAAACTGCGCTGCATTTAACTGTCGGCGCTGCGGCAGCAGCCATTTAGGCGAGGGTTTTGATAATTCTCGAAAATAAGTGATAATAAATTGTGATAAGAACCAACAGAGAGAAAGAGAGAGAGAGAGAGAGAGAGAGAGAGAGCGGGAGAAAAGGAGAGAGCTTGTGTCGTGTACCAAATTCCTTTGACGAAATTCAGGAATTGTTCAAGCGAAGTGCAGGCTCTCACAATTTCTGTTGCATACATTTGTGCGCGCTGCTAAAAATGCGAGCAGAAGTAACAAGGAAGACACGAAAGCAAACAACAAAAGCATAACAAAACGCAGCACCATACCCCATTTGCCTGCTCTGTGTGTGTGCGCGTGTGTGTGTGTGTGTGTGTTGATGTGTATGTTACGCATTTGTAAAGCATACTTTCTGGCTGTTGGGCAGTTTGCTTACGCGTGCGTGTATTTGTGTATTTGTTTAATACCGCCTTTTGTTTACTTTTTACACAAATACACATGAACAGTTCTTGTTGTTGCTCTCTCCACACATACATTCATCGTATATGTGCCAAGCTTTATCTAGATTTCGCTGCGTGCCATAAAATGTTCCTTCTTTCGTTCGTTTTGTTTTGTTTCGTTTTTTTACATTTTTTGTAAGCCAAAGAATTCACTCTGTCTCAGCTGTTTGTATAGGTTGCTGAAGAACTCAGTAGAAGTTGTATACGTAATTGTAATGCAAAACTTAAACCAGACGCTGAAATTGGTTAAAGCTTTAAGGAAAAAAAGGAATTCATAGTTTTCGAGCGCATTGCGCACTTTGCATTTTGCATTTCAGCCCAGACTAACCCAACCGATGAGGCTTAAGGCTACACGCATGAATGGCATTAATATTGAATAGACCGAAGCGCCGTATCTATTTTGCATATCATTTTTCGAGCCTTGTTGCTGTCTAAAGTGCAATTAAATGACAATTTATGAAATTCTATTTGCATTTATGCATAAATTTATAAGCAGCCAAAAACTGAGCCTGCAACTGCATTCGCCACCAAGAGTGCAGCTCGAATAGCCATCTTCGTAAGGCACATATTGATTAAATTCTGTCCAAATTGAGATTTCTCGCACACACATATATATATATACATACACGGCCAGCTGCATTCGTATGTATTGCATTCTGTTTGCTTTGCCGGGCTTTTAAGCCTACTCTATCGGAGTGTCCTTCGACTGGGTGCAGCGGGATATTTTCATTTCAGCAACGATTTTTATGCAAAAATATTATTTGTTGACTTTTGGCACCCGGTCGGAGAAAGGATCCCAGGCACAGAGCAGAAATTGAATCTGGATTCGATGGCTGTGCCGAAAAATTAAGGCTGGGCAGGCTAAATGAACGCTGCTACAATATTTATGCCTCACTGTATGTGTACGGAAAAATAAACACGAAAAGGTGCTCTAATCGAGCATGTCCGACTAAGAGATACCACGTCCCCGGCTGCATAACATCAATATTCCTTAACTGTATATAAGGTTAGGAACCTTTGTTCCAACTTGTCTCAGAGAATTACTTTAAATTCAATTAAGTCATCGAGAAATGAAGAATTTAGTTTTTCAGCTTATAATATACGGCAATCATAGCTTCGATATTGGAGTTCCCATCTCTGATGTTCCCTGAGATCGATGTATTTACAAAGACAAATCGATCCGATATTCATCTGATAATATTTTGTTCTGCCGTGTACCAGATTATACCCTGTTATTGCCCAATTCAAATGAATAAAATTCCCAGGAAAAAGTTTGTCCATATTATGCTTTAGTTTAAAATTTTTGCCAGGCTTCCAGCTGCTTTTATTTGATCTCTCTCTTTTATTTATTTGGTGGAACATGAAAAAATGCTTATGCGCCATTTGCAAATGTAAAAAAAAAAAAAAAAAAGGGTATTCTGCACGATTGGTACGACACACACACACAGACCAGAAACACACACAAGAGAGGTATCATAAAGCGAAATAAAACTTTGGACAAGAGTTAAAAAATATATTTGCTTCAATATATGTAATGCATATGTATATATACAAATATACATGAATAGCAATGTGTTTGTATGAAAGTAAAGTTGCATAAATTGCTGCAGCGCACGGGAGAGTTTTGTGAAAATAAAAAAAAAAAAAACACAAAGAACAGAGAACAGAAGAGCACTCACACAAAAGTCGACATATTGATAGGCTGGCTGTGCCCCGATGCCCCCTTCGCTGTGATTTGCCGCGCCCATTCCCAGATGTGTTTCGTACTCATGTGCATGCCAAGTGGGGTCACCAGAACCGCTTAAAGCTTTAACTTTAGCATTGGCCGGCAAATATATATGAATTTTACTACTTTGGCATTGGAAGGGAAATATATACTTATATATATATATAAGATTTAAGATATTCCATTACTGTACTTATTTGTACTTAAGTTTCACCTATTTTAAATTTTCTGAAAGTGATGCAATTCATATAGGAATAGACGTCGTAGCTAGCTGAGGGTATTATAATTTTGTCCTAAAATATGTAACGCTCAGAAGGAGAAAGAGAGAGAGAGAGAGATGGAGAGAGAGAGAGAGAGCGATCCTGTGCTTAAACCGATTCGGTTCGAAACTTGCAGCCAATTTTATGGTACACTTTTGGGTGCATGCTTTTAATATTGCAGTAGAAGTAAATTGAGAATATCCTCTATGCACACGCTAAGAGCCAGAACCCTTGCGGAATTCAAAGGACTGAAGAAATTCCTGCATACACAGACATTGCACTTGAAAATTAATGGCAACTTGACGTTGATTATGCAAATGTTAGGGGTTCCCTTTTTCCACAAAGCATCTACTTATTGCCGTTTTTACTGCGCCAGGTTCCCTGCTTCGTTTTCATTATAATAACAGCCCATTGCGGCATTTTGATGCAGTAAATGCTCTTACCCCCCTTTCTCTTTTTCTGTCTGTAGGTCTGTCTGAATGTCTGTCTGCCTTTCCGTCTGTCTGTTCCTGTCTCTCATTTACTGTTGCTTTAATTTTTTATCGTTTCGAGGTTAGTTTGCAAAACTTTAGCTGTCATTGACCGGCCTGGACAGAGAGCCAGCGAGCGGAGCGGCAGAGGCGACCAAAGGCCAGACACCGACGACTGGTCGGGCTGCCTACGCCCTGGCACGCCCCTTTGTCTAGTGGCTGGCCAAGCGGCCATCCGGTTGTGTGTCCTTCAACTAACTTCCAGCCGATTCTATAGTGCACAAGTAGTCTAGTCATGTTTAGTCCTTTGCGGTCCTCCTGGCCGTCCACTGTCTATTGGCATTGGCTCGTCGTTATTGCTTTCGACTGGTTTGGTTTATCGTCGCTGGCAGCCATGGAAATGCTCGTAAATTTTGAGTACTCACCCACCGCCTGCCTGGTGGGTGAATGCTTTAAATTTGTATAAATACGACGAGTGGTGCTAGCACGTTTTGGTTTTTGTACTGCCGCTTCCACTGCCCTTTCCACTGCTGCTGCTGCTGCTGCTACTAAATTCATTCATAATGGGTTTTTCACTGCACTCACAGCCCAGTAGAGTCCAGCCCCAGTCGCCCCTGCCTACACCACAATGCTGCAATGGTGTATATAAATTTTGCGTTTTTACGCAAACTGAAATTTATTATGGCGCAGCGTTGTAATTTATAAATTTTATGCCTTCTAAGTGCTGCTTCCAGAGCCTCGTGCTCCCTTCTCGTCCAGCTTTTATTATCAAACTGCAGCTACAGCAATGAATAAATATCTGAATACTTCTTTGCATTATGCACTTGCCCAGTTGCATGTCACGCACAATTTTTAACGATCTTTGTCCAAAGTAAATGAATGTAACAGGCAGCGGAACCCATCTCAGACGCCATATACTCCAGATGAGAATCAATAGCCAAGTGTATCTGGCTTGCTCCTTGTTATGATTCTAATGTGAAATGCTGTCTGCCTTTTAGAAAAACTTATTCTGATAAAAATTCTTGAAAGAATTTGTATTTTCTAAAATTTACAAAATATCTGAAAAGTAAAAATTGTTTCGTACTTCGCTACAGGGTTTTTTCCGGTTGAGCATGCTCGACTGCAGTACGTTTACATATATCAACCTTTCCTGGCGCAACAAATTGCCTTCTGTTTGGTGTTTTTATGCTCGCTGCTGGCGCTACTGCTCCACTTAACTTTAGCTACTGCTTCGTCCGCGGATAAAGTGCTAGGTGTGTGTATGCGTGTGTGTTTGTGTGTGTGTGTGTGTGGATATACGTAAATGC